CCCTCCCCCATTTCTGATGAAGGGTCTAGGCCCGAAACGTCAGCCTTCCTGCTCCTCTGATGCTGCTTGGCCTGCTGTGTTCATCCAGCTCTACACCTTGTTATCTCAAGAATCAGCTGTCTCAGCTCTTAGAGAAAGCATTATCTCATTAATAAAGTTACCGCAGCACTTAGCTAATATTCCAGACAGAAGAATTCACAGAGAGAATATTCCTGTCAGAGATCAACAGAGAAGACACATAATGTTCCGGAAGACGTAACCTGGCTGTCATTTCAAGAGACTAAGTTCTATTTTATTTTATTTTGGTATATACAAGTGGGACTTGTATTTATTGGAACAGCATACCATTTGAATCTTGTTTTATTTAGGAATAGAGGGGAATATTTTGGTTTGTTAATAGTTCAGGTAATTCGTTTGCTGTTAGCGTTAGATAATTAATTGTTACTTGTTAATTACACAGTGATTGTCAGGATTTTATTTCATTTAACCACTCCTTTATAACAGATTGGGGTGAGAGGCAGGTTATTCCACTTTTCACAGTAAGTAGATTATAAGGTGAGGCGAGCCTCTCTGGGTGTTTCGGTTTTAGTTGTTAGAGGGTGGTCGACCTCTGCTTCATAACACTAGGGATTCAGAGGAGCCCGAGGTAGACTTCATACTTCTACAAATTCTCCAACTCTGTCTTTTGCGTTGATGTGCCAGGACCCTACCCCTCAATGAGAATGGGGTTATTTGTGGAGCCTCATGTTCCTGTTAATAGTTCAAATGTCCACCATCATTCTCAGCTGCATATGGAAGGAGTGCAGAGCTTAGATCTGACCCTCTGGTTGTGGGATCACTTTTGGCATGCTAGTAGTTCTGTGTTATAGCTCATCTACCTGGTACTGATACTGACATATCCTCCTGCACTCTTCAGTGAGTCAGCATTGATCCTTTGGCTGGATGTTAAAATTAATAGTGGAATGGTGGATACACTGGACCTTGAGATCACAAGTTGTGGTTGAATACAATTTTGTTGGTGTTGATGGGCCACAGCGCTTTATGGATTTCCAATTTTGAGTTCCTGGATCTGTCCATCAACTAGCCCATTTGTCATAAAATAAAGAATTGCAAAATCTGGAGATCTGAAACAAGTAAAATAGAAAAACATTTCAGAACATTCACAGGACTCAAAACTACTCGTTTTCTCTCCATAGGTGCTGCCAGACCTTCAGTGATTCTCCAGAAAATTCTGTTTGTTAGCCCATTTTACCATGCTGGTAGCCTTTGTCTTCACAATGGCTATGCAGACCTCATTTCTATCAATGCTGTCATGTACAGATACATCTGCAAAACGTATCTTGGAGCAGACAAGTTCAAGATTTTTTTTCTGTTTTTGGTTCCCTCACCATCTATTGTGGAGTCTCGCAACTATGTCCTTTAGGATGCAGTCATCTTGGTCAGTAGTTTTGTTTATTCTGTGGACTTCGCCTATCCACAATTGCCACTGAGATAGTAATGACCATCCTTCTGCCTTCTTGAACCACTGCAGTCCATTTGGTGCTACAAAGATACTCATAGTTAAGGACATTGAGGTCCCCTAGCCAGAGTACCTTCTGTGCACTTGCCACTGTCAATGCTTTACCGATTTGGTGTTAAACACAGAGGAGTAATGCTCATTCAGCAGTTGGGATTGAGGGAGGGGATGTTGACTGAAGGATAGGGTTTCAGTAGCAAGAGGTGGATGTAGGGAGGGAGTATACCACGTGATGATTGGAAGAAGGGTTGACCTGCCTCCATAACACTTGCAAGGTCTGGAGTCAATGTTCAGGAGTCCCAGGGCAACTCCATCCTGACTGTGTAGTATCTCATAATCTGGTGAGTGTGTCCTGCTAATAATTCCTTGATTGTAGCTATGTCAGGCTGTTGCTTGACGAACTCGTGGGACAGCATACTTAATTTTGAAACATGCTGCAGGATATCAGTAGGGAGCATCGCGGGTATCAACAGGGCCTTTGTCGTTTCCAGTGCCCAGTTTGATGCAAGGTGGCCCATTTCTTTTAGATGTTGCAGCAGTTTGATACAACTGAGTGGCTTGCTAGGTCATTGAACAGGCATTTACAATTCAAACACAGTACAATGGGTAAGCAGTTGCATGTATGCCAGGTCAGATAAGGACAACAGATCAGTGAACCAGGTGAACTTTTACAACAATTGACAATGGTTTCAAGGTCACTATTAGACTATCTTTTAATTCCAATTTTTCTTTATCAACTTAAGTTCTGCCAGCTGCCACAGTGGTATTTGAACCCATGTCCCCAGAGTATTAATCTGGGTCTCTGTCCAGTGACATGACCGTTGTATAGCCACCACCGTCACCATTGCCAGACTGTATTTGAAACATCATCATGTGGCAATGAAACAATGACAAACTATTAAAACTTCAGTATTGCGAAAATCAGACACATTATGCTGAAATGTTTCACCATACTCTAAATCAGGACAATTTGCTAGCATACTGATACAAAGGGAAAAACAACATTTATACCATCTGAAAAAATGGTGCTGGTTGGTTAGAAAGTCGACTCTGATTAATAGGATTTTCCCCTTGAATTTGTATCCTTGCAAATTGTCCTGATAGATGCAAGACAAAGACTGTGATGATATGACTTTTTCATCAATACTCAAGTTCTGTATTGTTAAACATATGGTTATAAAAAAGCTTTAGTTGAAATAAAATTTCTTATATTGTTAATAATTCACATATTTGTACAGTAGATTTTTTTTGAGCCCATTGTGTCTGATTCTCAGCACTTAATCTGTTGCACTCCAGGATCAATCATTTACTCCTTGGAATTTTCAGTGAAGCACATACATATTAACTCAGTGTGTTTTCTGATAGGTTTTTATTTCTGATGTATAGCTTTAATGTCTTCTCAAATGACAGTCATTGTTATCATTGAAGAGACATTTATCCTTGTTAATCTCGTTATCACTGCTCCTTTGTGAGAGGCTCATAACTACACCAGGTTTGTTATCATTTCCTGTAAAATTTCTTATATCCTGTGTCTACTTTATAATGGTAACAGAAAGGGAAATACTTTTTTTTACAAAAAATAAGACAAGAATACTTGGCCTTTGAGATAAAACATTTTTGGTGTAGCTTTAGCGCTGCTACATTAAACATAATAACAATCAACAACATTTAAAGCTGCAGTGTAGTTATAACTGAATGTATTCATTTTATGTAGTGTTAGCTGATATACCATGGCTTTGTTCATAGCCTGGGTTTGAAATGTGTTTATGATTCTTATTTGCTTAACCTGGCTTGTCACATAATGTCGCTATAGCCATACTGCCTGTGGAGCTATGGTTTAAATAAGCTTTAAGGACAATCAAATTTAATTGCTGTTGAATTGCACTTGATGTTCTTTTCGATTGTCCTTTGCAAATTTCTGTTTCTGAAAGAAAAATCAGCATATCTCTTTACCAATCTATAATTGACCTCATTGTGAGATAACTGGATTTCTTTTCCTTTTTTGCATACTTTGTTTTTTTGCTAGCGTTGTAGAGTTATAATGCAGACAAAGAGGAAGCTGGAAGAACACGGCAAGCTATGCAGCATCTGGAGGAAAGAAGAATATTTCGGGTATTACCCTTCTTGTTTTCTACAAATGTGACATCACAGGGGCAGCATGGTGGCTCAGTAGTTAGCACTGCAGCCTCACAGCGCCAGGCACCTGGGTTCGATTCCACCCTCAAGCGACTGTCTGTGTGGAGTTTGCACATTCTCCCTGTGTCTGTGTGGGTTTCCTCCAGGTGCTCCGGTTTCCTCCCACAGTCCAAAGATGTGCAGGTTAGGTGGATTGGCCATACTAAATTGCCCGTAATGTTCAGGGATGTGTAGATTAGGTGTGTTATAGTAGGGTGGGTCTGGGTGGGATGCTTTGAGGTTTGGTGTGGACTTGTTGGGCCGAAGGGCCTGTTTCCACACTGTACGGATTCTCTGATATCTATGATAATAAAAAACTCACTAATGTTTCCTAGTTTTGCTCTGGATGAGTAATAAAATGGTGTAAGAAAGAAGCTGAATCTCTTAAAAGTTATAAATTCCTCATTCTCAATACTGGAAAAAGGGATCAGGGTCTGGAAAAATTGAGGGGGGTGGGGTGGACCCTGGGAGTACATGGATTACTTACCCTCAATTTGTTCTCAGCTTTGTCTCAATTTCAACCTTTAACTTTATATTTTGGAGCAAAATGCATCCTAAAGTTCTATTTATCGATCAGTATTGGAAGATACAATTGGCAAATTTCAAGCAGAACATCAAAGTTAAGCTAAGAATAGAGTTATTGTGTACATGTTGGGTGTGGGGACACATGGTTAGCAGTGCATAACAGCAGCAGCAGGGGATCAAAATGGACTGGGGACACATTTGTTAACACAGTGTGGAGCCGGAAGAACACAGCAGGCCAGGCAGCATCAGAGGAGCAGGAAAGTTGTTCAGAAATGGTCCCGACCCAAAATGTCGACTTTCCTGCTCCTCTGATGCTGCCTGGCCTGCTGTGTTCCTCCAGCTCCACACTGTGTTATCTCTGAGTCCAGCATCTGCAGTTCTTACTATCTCTGGGGACACATTGTGATGAGTTGCAATTTCTAGCCCCAGGCTCAGATAGAGGTTTTTGCTTCCTAAGGCCAAATTTAATCAATAATGTTTCTAAGATAAATTTTTCAGGAAGATTTTTTTTTAAAAAGCATTCAAATGTTTCCATGTTTACTGTATTCTACAGTATATTTTTATTGTGTCTGAAATAAAGTGTCAGATTCTTTTAGTATGGATTTTGTAAAATATTATGTGGTCGTGTTTTCCTTTCTTTCATTAATGCCTGATATTTCATAAACCATAATATGATTGATAAGTTTCCACTGTTTTGCCTGTTTTTAATTCATACATTTCGTTTTTACTGAGTTTTGAGTATTATTAACATTTTGAGACTAAATATTTTTTGGCTGTTCCAAAGTGATGAAACCCAAAACATGGGAGTAACAATGACAGACTGGAACTACACACTATAGTTTCTAAACTCTACCAATGTGGCCTTGATTGACTTTGCTTCTGTGTGCCAGAGGCTGTTGTACATGTACCACAGGATCTTTAATTTATGGCGATCAAAGATGTCAAAATTGATTGTTAAAAGTGATTCCAAAATTTCTACCAGTATTTTGTGATCTAATTCTATGAATGTATTTTTTCTTGTTTAATGGTAACTGCCAATAAATGGCTATGTTTTTTGTCCTAAGTTCTATTACCTTTCTCAAAGACCCCTATATGCAGAAATGTAAACACTAACATGTGGCAAATTAGAAGTAGCTATGCAGGTAGAAAATTCAATTTGATTTTTTTTATTTTGGGTGCAGTGATCATGATGCTTGCAGAACTCTGCCAGAAATCATGGAAATGAAACAATTGTGGCTTGACCGTGTCAGAAGGCGCACTGGGTTTTTTTTATAGGTTATATGACCCAGCCAGAATTGTTTCATTTCCGTGATTTCTAGCAGAGTCTGAGTGGTAGACAGGAGGTAGTCCAGCTTCTCTGTGGTCCTGTGGAAGAGAGAGGCTCTCAACTAATTTAAGTATTTTTCTTGTCACTTTTAAAATTTAAGAGATTCCAAGTTTCCACTCATAGAATTGTTAGAAAGTTTTATAATGGTGTCGGAATGAATATGGCAGAAATAAACTAAGATATAATAATTTCTAGCACATTAGATCCACTGTGTCATAGCCCAACTGATACAGTATGACCGTTGTACAGCTACCACCATCACCATTGCCAGACTGTATTTGAAACATCAGCATATGGCAATGGAACAATGACAAACTATTAAAACTTCAGTATTGCGAAAATCAGACACATTATGCTGAAATGTTTCACCGTACTCTAAATCAGGACGATTTGCTAGCATACTGATACAAAGGGAAAAACAACATTTATACCATCTGAAAAAATGGTGTTGATTGGTTGGAAAGTCGACTCTGATTAATAGAGTTTTCCCCTTGAATTTGTATTCTGGCATCCTTGTATCCTTGAAACACTGCAGGCAGTCAGCTCTGAATAACCTTTCCAAACAAGAAATTTGTCAGATCCTACTGTACTCTGTTAAACTTCCCTAGTCACTTAGGCAAGATTTAGTTAATTAGCATCATAGACATATATTCCTTTCCAATAAAACAGCGTGAGGAAGAAAATGTATCAAAGATTTCTTATTTGAGTGTTAATATAATGATCTAGGAAGCTAAGATTTTACGTTGAAATGGAAACGGAGGGAGGTTCTACTTGATTATACTTCTATAGTTGTGAGACAGAACAACAATGAGGAAATATAGGACAAGAAGAAACATTATTCGCATTTCAGCGTAAAATTGATGTATTTCAAGCAATCTTATTGTTGAGGCTGTAACACATTGACTTCAGAGAATGTGTGCAACTTTACTGCTGAGAAGCAAACACTACTCAACATGGTTACTGAAGAGCTTCCTCCCCAGAGTACCAAAACTAATTTAATCTGTGTTCCTGAATTTAACTTTGTATATTTTTCCCTGCAGACCAATAACAAATTTAATTAGAATGGGTTTCAGTTAGATAATTCTATATATTAAGTAGTTCTCTTCATTTACTGCTTTGTGTTCATTGTCATTTACTGGGGGCAATTTTAACTGTTGAATGAGTAACCTGTACACCCTACGTCTGTTCAGACAGTGAAGAAGCCTCACCTTTTTGAGACCCTAGTCTCATTTGAACTTTCACAACAAGATGTGGATGCTAATCAGGAATTAAAATCCAACTGTCTATTCTCCATGGTCAGGAGTATTCACCAGTTGGGATGCTTGCTGAGGCTCACAATATGCTATTTGGTGGGATACGTGTGGTGAGTCCACACTTGCAGTGGACCATGATACCTTTGGGGAGCCATGAAAAGTACCACTGCTGCCAGCTGT